AAACCACAATTGTCAGATTGCTTAGTGTCGGCTGACTGATTATTATTTTTTGGGTTGGTTTCTTCAAATAGGGGCATAATTAGTGGGCTAAATTAACTAAGGTATTCAAGCCAAAGGCTAGTCCACCAATAGTTGGGAGGTGTTTGAGATAACTATTATCTTTGGTCTGTTGACCGTAAAAATATAAGCCGACACAAACCGCGGCTACTAGTAGTAATAAATATCTTTTATCGAACATTTTATTTTAACTTGTATTTTTTCACTATCTGGTCATTGAGAGCTTGCTTTAACTTAGTAAACGGTTTAAAGTTTAAGCGGCAGTAAACATAATTTTGACCATCTCAACCACAGCGTTGTTTTTGCTCTTTTTTGGTGAATTTACCTAAGCGACCTAATTTAATACTTTGGCCATCTTTAATGGCTAGGAGCGAATTAATTAAATCTTTTTGGACTAACTGATAGGCTAATTTAATGTCTTGCTGAGTGTAATGGTTGGCTTTCATTGAGAATAATAATGGGTTGGGGTTGGGGTTGGGTTTTTTTAATTTTTGGTTTAGTGGGATAACTTATAATCAATCCACTTTCATTATGGTTCATCTTAATTACGTTTTGTCGAGTAGTTCTAAAGGGGGATTGGGAATTCTGGGTAAAAGTGGAGCAGGCACTGAGTGCTGAGGGGTTAAAAGTGTGCTAGTGGTAGAGAGATTTGGGGAATAAAAAAACTTAATATGGATAACTTTTGAATTGAACTCAAAGAAACGCAAAGTGGGCATCAGATTTTAAGTTGTCAAATCGAGGGTAAACATTGACGAGGCTTTTTAGAAGTCAGAGAAGGAAAACGAGAAAATGGCGAAACTTATACTTATAAAAGTGCTCAGATGCGACCGTGTACGTGGGAGAATTGTAAAATATGTAAGCCGGAAGTGATGATTGTTTAGAGGTTATTTTTTTAAAACTTTTTTCTCTTTTTAGTTAGTTTTTTTTGGTTGATAACTTCTAAGCACTCATCTTTTTCGGCAAAAAGACAAACTGAGTTCTCAATAATTGGAAAAGTTTCTTTACTACTGGGTCGGTAAACTTTATGATTAGGGTCAAAGAGTAAGGCTTGAAAACTATTAGTTGCCCCCCTGATATCTTATTTTTTTTAAAATGCCAAATAGGCGGGCTTCCTTACCCAGTGGGATTTGTCAAATCTGTTTTCGTTCTAAGTCATTAATGGCTTGGGTTTTTCAACCGAGCAGTTCGCCAATTCGAGTTTTCATATACTCGGCTTTAACTTGATGACAATTGTCGATTTCTGCGACTTTTTCTTCAAAATCATGAGTACTAAAGAGTTCGAGAGCAGTCAATAATTCGGCTAATATTGCTTTAAATTGGTTTCTTTTAACAGCATTAGTGAAACCATCCTGATGAAGACAACCAATTATCATCTCACTAAAATCAAAAAAAGTTTTCGGCACCAGTTCTAAATTCGTAAGTAGTTAGTGATAGTTTCCAGTTTTATTGGTTGGTATTTAAGACTATCGTTTAAGGGTTTACGAGTTATTTTCCAAGCTCGATCTTTGGCTTTTTCGGCAAAAGTTAATTCTCTTTTTTTTGCTTCGTGTTTTTTATATTGCCGATAAATGTTTTCTAAATGTTGGCTGACTTGCTTGTTGATTATGTTTGGATACTTGTCAAATAGTCCTTGATAAGTTCCCTGACGACGAAAGTAGTTGTGCATTCTGAGAAAAACTGAGCCCAAAGTAGGACCAGCTCGTCAAGCTTGAAATTCTTCGCTAAAAAGTAGACATTTTTCTTTTTTTAATACTTCTAAATAAGAAAGATAAAGCAAGTCTTGCATCGTGGAATTAGTTTCTATCCCCCTTTCATAGAAAAATTTAGCCACTGAGAGCGGATTAAGACCTAAGGACGGTAATAAGTTTAACTTTAAGCGATGAGGTTTAATAACTACTGCCATGATATAAATATAATACTAACTATATAATGATTTTATTAATTAATTATATCCGACCTACTTTTTGGAGCAAATTAGTGGCTCAAACTGTGTATTTTGAGATATATTTGCCAGCTTTTATTGCTACAATATGTTTCTCGAAATCAAAATCAGACATGTGTCCGACCCCACAACATCTGCGCGAATATTTTCCTCAGGTAGCAAATTGTCGCAAAATTGAATAACATTCACTGGGATTAGTGGCAGTATTCAAACAAATAGATCTTTTTGGATTAAGAACTACTTTGGCAAAGCCGAGTTTTTTTCAGCAAACATAACATTTTTTTAATTTATTCATTACTGTGACATTTCGGATAGTGAACCTTTTGTTGATATAGTTTTTCAACTTCACTCGCTAGCAAGCCCTCAGGAGGGTGATTACCAAGCACTGCTTTACAGAATTGGCAAGCCACTACTCAATTATAAGGCGGGCATGATAACTTGTAAACTTGGATTTTATTGGTTAATTTTATAGTCATTTTACTTATTTTTTACACTGGTCTAAATTTGTTCCTATTTAGTAAAACAGAAAACAATTCCTCCTTAGACAGGACGGAATTTCACCAAATTACTTAAATCAGAATCTTTGATATAAAGGGCAGTAGTAGAAATTTTACTATGTCCTAATACTTTTTGTAAAACAGGTAAGGGCATGCCACTAATGGCGTTATAGGTAGCAAAACATCTTCGCAAAGTATGAGGAGCCAGTTCAACATTAACTGGTAAATTCAGTTCCTTTTTGACTTGACTTAAAAAATCAAAAAAACTGATGCGGTTAGTTTGCTGGGGTTGTCAATTTCTTTTTTTTAGTTCTTTGATTATTTCCGGACTGATAAATACTCATCTTTCTTTAGCTCTTTTGCCGCGGAGTAAGTAGAGGTTTTTATACTCAGTTGCTTGATGCTCTAACTGATAATCAAAACTTATTGCTTCACTAATTCGTAAGCCAACTTTTCAACCTAACAAGAATAAGCACTCGTGAGCAGGTTTTTTGCTTTCACCTTTTTTGTTGGGTCGGGTTAGGATGTAATCCCAGACCTGTTGTAAAAGTTGGTTAGTGGGTAAAATGGTGAGTGGTTTTTTCTTTTTAACCAGTTCTGTTTTAGTTCTTACTTTTAGTTCTGATTTGGTTGGTTCCATGTTCTTAATTGGGGGCTGGTTCTGACTTAATGGCTAATTTTGTTAGGAATTGGCGACCAGTTTTTTAATCTTCAACCGCGAGTTCTTTTTTCGTAAGTGAAGAGGTATTTTTTGTTGTGATAGTTTTCTTGGACGAGGGTGTTTCAGATTTCTTTTGAAACTAAATTAGGAAAAGCGTAAAGAGTTTCTTTTTTAGCGGGGTTAAATAGGCTTTGAGTAGAGATTTCTAAGCAGTAAAAGGGTTGACCTTGATATTGGCTTTTGGCGGCGACTTGACCACCAAAGCAATGATTGATGGTGCCAATTAGTTGGTGGAGTTTGCGAGGTTTAGTCATGATTGGTTAGTTGCGATTTTTGTCATTCTTTTCACCGCTCATACTTCACTTGCTGACTAGCCTTTCAGCAAGCATAACAATTTCTCTTTCTAGGTTCAATTTTCTTTAATTGCTGGCACTTAGCACAAACTTTTAAACTTTGACTGATGAGAGTGGCGAGGTTTTGCTCAGGTGGTAAGTAATCAATGGTTAAGTCTAAATTATGTTCACTAATTAACTTGCGAGCTAATCAGAGATAATAGGGTCAAGCAATCTTACTTCTTTGGCTGTAATAAAATTCTCGTTCTAGTTGGTAGCCAGCACTGAGAGGTCGCTGGCTGAGTTTTAAGAAGCGTCGTCAGATGTCGTAGTTGTCAGTAAAGAGAGTAGCTGACAGGATGTGGTTTTCTAATAGTCAGTAAGCAGTGCGTAAAACGGCATAGGCTTTGGCTTCTATGGGACGAATTACTTGCTGATTATTAAAACGGGCTAAGATTTGGGAGTTGGCATCCACCAGAATAATACTTCAGGTCTGGTTGGGACTATTATTTAAGTAGCTAGCACTGAGGTAGAGATTTTTTGGTTCGACTGACTGGACTAATTGTTGCACTTGCTGGATGGTTTTTTTATTCTTCATTATTTTTTTCTTCTTGATAACTATCGACTAAAGAGCAGAGACCTTCTTCTAAAATTAGGGGTTGGCCTCAGTCATCTAATTGCTTACTTTTTTGGTCTTCTAAAAGTTGCAAAGTTTCTTTTAAGTCTGCGACTAGACTATAAAGAGTATCAGCATCTCAGGTTTCTGGGTCATCCGAGTTAATGACTTGGGCTTCGTTAATTTTATTGAGTAGTTTTTGTAATTGGTCTAGTTTAGAGGTGATTTGTTTTTGTAATTTTTTTGACATAGTTTGTAAAATTCTTTATTCTTTAAGAAGAAAATAATTAAAAATTATTTCTTTCTTGCTTTTGATAGTCAATTAGGTGTTGTTGAGCTTGCGGACAGACATATTTTTGGGTGGGGTCTTCGCGGGCTCGCTGGCAACCTCAACAGCCATTTTTATAGATTGGTTGGGACATAGTTTTTAAATTGGTGGAAGTGAAGGGGTTTTACCCCTTGTTTCTTAGTGATGCTAGCAAGCAAAACTAAGACAAATAACACTCCCTTTTAGTTAACTCCCTTTAATCCGGAATTAGAAATAAATGATAAGTACTAAATTTTGGGCGGGAGAACAAGTGGAACCCAAATTAAACTAACTCAATTTGCTTGATTCTGCGAAAAGTTCCTTGCTGATCTTTATTGGGCAGTTCTTGATAAGTAATTAGCACTTGACGATTGATGAAATTAAAAGGGTCATTAGTTAAAGTGCTTAGAGTTTCCTGAGGAAGACTATTACTGAAAGCATAAAAGTAATCAGAAGTGCCTTGCAGAGTTATTTTGTAAAAGGGATTGACATTTTTATCTACTTTCGATTCAATATCAGTGATAAAGGCTTTAATTTGTAATTGGGTCATATTTTTATAATTCGATTTGGATTTGGGGTTTAATTTGCCGACATTTAAGGCAAGGTTGTCCGGTAATGGTGTGGGTTTTTCACTGCCAGACGGTTATTTCTGGGAGTGGTTTTAATTTTTTACAACTGGGACATTTAACTTTAACTAATCAGCAACTAGAAATAGCGAAAGTAAAGCCGAGGATTATTCCGGTGAGGAGGATAAGGAGGAAAGTGAACATAGATTTTTGGTTTTAAGGATTTATTTTCCGCAACTTACCTATTCTTGGCGGGAGCACCTAATCAGTGTTGCGGAAGCAGAGAACGAAGCGAATTTGCTCCTCTGATTAGGCTCAATTGTTTCCGATAGCACTTCGTTGACTATCGGCGAAGCACAATGACTTTTAATAAAGATCATTGGCTTTCCAACAGTTTTTTGAAAAAAACTATCAGTTAGTGTCGCTAACTTAGATAGGGGTTCTCTGTTCGATTTTTTCTGCAATCTCTTTTAATTTGCTAAGTGCTGCTTTTTTCTCGCGGGGGTGAAAATGTTTATCGGGAATAGCAAAACCTTTATATCCTCCTTGCTCAGCACCAAAACAGACTTCTCAATCTCTTTTGCTATAGAGATAAAGGAGCTGTAATCAAAACTCTTCGGTAGCTGGCATTTCTCCTTTTTCAATTCTGGTTACCATTTCTTCTACTAAATCTTGGTGAGTTAGTAAACTTTTGGCGTGGGCAAGGTTTTTTCGGTTGTGGGAAAAATCTTTTAAATTAGTTAAAAAGTTATTACAGAGTGGGCAAAGTCCAGTCTTCTCTTTAGTCTCTTGCAGTAAATCAGTGGCTAACTTCAGAAAAAAAGTGTTAATTTGGTAAGAGTTTGCTACTTCTTTTTTTTGGCAAGTTAAATCTAATTGGCTGCCGATTATACAGCAGTAACTATAGTATTTTTGGTTGAGGTTAGGCATAGCAGTAGTTCATGTTTCAGTTATTTAAGTATTGATTGCGAGCCCGGATTTCACAACCACAAAGACCGTCTAGTTGTTGAGTGGTTTGGTGCTGGTGGTCGTGGGTGATGGGGTAAGCAGTAAAATCTTTACTCTCGGTCATGTCATATTCTAGGGCGTAAGTGTCTAGTTTAGCGATAAAAGACCGCACGACAGTAGCTTGTTCTGGTTGAAAAGTGAAACGCAAGACTGGTTTGGTGGTGAAGTGAGTGTAAATAGTGCCAGCACATTGACCAGTTTCTTTGGGAACTTGGTCTTGCTCCAAGGGAATATGGGTAAATTCAGCCGATTTGCACATTAAGAGTAAGCGGATAATTAAGAATTCCTGAAAATCAGACTGAACTGCTGGTTTTTTTGGTTTTTTGAAAAGATAAGCTTCTTTTTTATGGTGTTTAGTGGCGAGGTTTAGTAAAGATAAAGGATTGAGGGAGCGAGTGCCTAAGCGAAAATGCTTTTTATCTGAAAAAGGCTTTCTAACTTGCCCAACTAATTGCTCGTTAGCACGGTAGAAGTAAGTAGTGGCTTGGGTTTGATAGTTGTAATGGCGGAAAACTTTTTGATTTCTCGGTAAATGTTGTCCAGTTGCGGCATCTAATTTATGACAACCAATTAGTAGAACTGGTTTTTGGTCGTATTGGTAAAGATTTTTGAAGAAGCGGTAGGCTTTGTTGTGTTTTTGGAAGCCGTAATCTTGGTAAAGTTCCCGCAAGTGAAAAGACTTAGATAAGTATTTAGCCAAGTAGGAGCTGATAGTTTTATAACTTGGACTTCGGCTTTCTACTCTTCCGTAAGGTCATAAAGTAGAAATATAAGCTCGGCAATTTCAACAGGAAGTAAAGTTTTTATCCAGTGTACACTTATGGCTATAAGGAACAATCGGAGTTGATAAAAAGTGAAAATGTCAAGTGGGAGGTCGGTCATCTTTGGCTTTTTGCAATTCGGCAACTACCGTTCATTTTCAATTATTAGGTTTTCACTTTAAGCGAACTTGGCGAAGTAATTTAGCTAGATACTGGTTAGCCAAGGTAAAATCACTAGCTTGCTCTTGAGGAGTTTTTTGGATCAGAACTTTGAAGGGTTCCGCCTTATCATCAAAATTAGTGGCTCAGTCTTTTAATCAGTTGTTTTTTTTAGATATCGGTTCTCAAACGGGGTCTTCCGGGTTTCAATTAGTGGTAAAAGCGGAATAGTTGTCGTGAGTGGTGTTGAAAGTGAGGGTTAAGAATAAGACTGGCTGCTGACCTTTGGTTCCCTCAAAGTTTTCTTCAACTTTATCTTTAAAGCGAGTATAGAGTTTTTTTTCTTTACTGTTAAAGAATTGGAAGTAGGTGCAGTTTTGGGCATCGTGGAGGCAGTCATCTTTTGGTTTAGATAAATTGGAAATAGGCTGTTGCTGAGCTATTTTAGGTTTATCTAAGTAAAAAGATTGAGCACTGTTTTTAGATAAGGTAACACTAATACGGTTAGTGCTTTGGATATGTTTACAAGAAACTGAAAGGACAGTAAAAGAGGTGTGGTCTTGGGTAAGGAAGGCTTTTAAGTCAGAACGGTTGACTTGCTTGATTTGAGTCAGGTCATTCAATAGTTTTTGCGGTGATTTTGTTGCTGAATTAAAACCTGTAGTTATGTTGCCATTAGAAAATATATTTATACCCACTTTTGGTAAAATCAGTTCGCTAATTATATAATTATGGTTAACGAACAACTAAAAAACTTTAACAAAATCATTCAAAAGTTGGTGGAAAACCAACCCGAATTATTTAATCAAGAGGAAATCACCGCTTCTTTACAAGCGATTGACAATTTACTAGAAACTGTTCAACAACAAGCAACCGAGCTGGAAAATAACAAACAATTACTTTTTGCTTACCAAGCTCAAACTCAAGGTTTACATACTAAATTAACTAGGAAAAAACCACGAAGATTATCGCTCGATAGTGGCGAAGTTTCTTATGTCGAGGGCATCATGTCTCCCCGTCGGGGTTCTAGTCGTTCAGACCACGACCATCCTTTTTCGCCTTTTTTGTCACCGCATTCTCCTTATTCCAATGGTTCGGTTTCCCCCTCTAGTTCTATCCTGGAGTTAGATAATATTTCCAATTTAGTGGAAGAGCGAGAGAATGAATTAACCGAAAGTGCGGCGGAAGTTATCAGTACCTTACAAACTAGCGAAAGCAATCTACGCCAACAAGTGGGTTCCTTAGCCCATGAATTATCGCAAAAAGAAGATTACATTAAACATTTAGTAGAAAAAAAAGAAGAGCAGGAAAAAATAATCTTGGAATTGGAGCAAGTAAAGTCAGAAAAGACTACTTTGCAAGCCAAATTGACTAAACTAGAAGAAAACAATAAAAAATTAGAAGAAGAGTTAGCCGAAACTAACAATGATTTTCTCTTAATTACGGAAAAAAATAACGAGTTAAATAGGCAATTGCTAGCTACTTATCAGAAACAAACTGAGTTAGAACAAAAATTGGAGCATGAAATCAATGAGCGGGAACGGTTAGAAGATAGCAAAGAACAATTTTACTCTTCTTTATTGGCTAAGTACCAAGAAATCTGCCAAGCCAAGGAATCTAGTGAACGAGAAAAAGAAGAATTAGCTAATTTAATTCGCCAACAAGAAAATGATTACGAGCAAGAAAGAATCCAACGAGAAAAAGTCTTCCAAAAACAGTTAGATAATTTACGAACTTTTCAAATAAATAGCAGCTTAAGAACCGAGGTTACTAAATTACGAGGGCAAAGACATCATCATAGTTTTAGTATTGGTAGTGTGCCTAGTAGTCGGGCTAATTCTCCTTATGATATAGAAATTAAGGATGAGGAGATAATTTTTTCGACTAAACCTAAGTCCCGACCAGTATCTTATGATTTATCGGCAGAATTAAAGAAACAAGGTTATCAGGAACAATCAGGCAAATTCGGTATTATTACTAAGCCAGAAGAGAATGTTTTCGAAACTTCCTTGGTCAATCCCAAGCGGAAATCAACCTCCTCACTGTTAAATCAGTCTTTGCAACTGCCCCCCGCTAATCAAGAAAGCAATAATTCCTTTGATGCACTTTTTGCCAATATTGATGATTTAGTAAAAATAGAAAACGATGTTGCTTGTCAGCAATTGCAAGAGGAAAAAAAGGCTTTAGAAGCTCAAACTCAAAAGTTAAATGAGGAATTGTTGAATTATAAGGAAGAGAAAAAAGATTGAGCCAGTGAATTAGGTCAAATTAAGTATGAATTACAAGAAAGTAAGGCTCGCCAAAGCCGAATTGATAAAGAATTAGTAAATGCTTATAATCAAATAGATGAATTAGAAGAAAAGTTGCGTGAACAAGAGGCTGATTTAGTCAACCAGAATGAAATTTCGCAAGATGAATTAGCCAAAGTAAGAAATGAACGAGATTCCCAACGATTAACTTTTACTAATTTAGCTGATAAAGTTGAGCATTTAGAAGAAGACAGTGAGGAAAAAAAACAGCAATTGGACAAGTTGAAACAATTAAACCAGCAACAAGATTTAAAAATCAAAGAATTAGAAAAGCAACAAAAAGAAGCAATTGTTGATTTAGATGGATTAGAACAAAAAGAACGAGAATTCTCGGCCTTAATCGAACAAGCCGAACAAATTTTAAAAATAAGAAAATAAATATGACTAATAAACCCCAAGAACAAATCAAAGAATTAGAAAATAAGTTGGATGATAATCTAAACCGCATGGTAAAAATTGTCAGTGAATATAGAAAATTAGAAGCCGAAAATGATAAGATAAAAAAAGACCTAGAAGATTTAAAAAAAGAAAATGACGATTTGAAGCAAGAAAGCACTACCAACACCAGAGAAATTGATCAAGCCTTAAAGGGAGCTGAAAGCAAAGCTGATGAATTAGAAGCCCAAATATTGATCATGGAACAATTATTAAAAATCAAATAGCCTTATGGAACGAGAATTAGAAATATTGCAAGACAAAAACGAGAAACTAGAAAAAGAATATGCTGATTTAGTTAAGCAAATTCGCTTATTGGAAGAGGAAAATGCTCAATTAAAAGCCGAAAACAAAAAGTTCAAAGAAGAGGATGCTGAAGTAGATAAATCATTAAGCAAACTTGATGAAGAAATGGATAAACTTGGCGAGGGTTTGGATGAATTAAAAGCATTATTTGATGAACCGGCAACTCAGATAGAAATTCCTCCCAAAAAATAATGCCTAATGTCTGATGCTTTTTTACAGCGGATAAAGGAATTAGAGGCCAAATTAAACAAATGTGATGCTCTATTAAAAAATTTTCAGAACAAGATTAAGGATTTAACGAGTAATAACTCCGCAGAAATTAAAGCCAAAGACCAAGAGTTAAAAGATTTACGCCAAAAATTAACCGTTTATTCGCAGGAACGAGATAATATTCAACAAGAGTTGGATGACAAAGTAAAAGAGTTAGAAAACTCTAATCTGTCTAATCTAGAAAAGCAACAACAAATTAATCAAATATTAACGGACAGCAAGAACGAACTTAATGCGGTTAATCGCAGTTTAATGACCAACTGAACTAATTATAATATTCAACGGGATAAAATGCTCGATTATGCAACTCGGTCTTGTCCGGCTTGTGAAATGAAAAACAAGGCAACGACCGATTTAGTTCAGGTGCGGAATTGATTATTTGGAGCCGTATTTTTACTCTTGATTTTACTTTTACTATCCTTTTTTAAAAAAACCAACCAAAAACCAAAAATTAAATCACTTTAACTTAGACTTAACATGAATGAAATAGAAAATAACCAACACGACCAAAAAATAAAAGAATTAGTGGGCAAAGTCCGCCAAGAATTAGGAAGCGAAATAATCGAAAAACCCAATAGTAAGGTCAATGAATACTTAAGTGAAATCGAAAACTTAGAAACCGTTATCCCCGAAGAAACCAAAAAACTCTGGACGGAATTAGGAATTGCTGAAGATACTAATCAGCAAAAATTAGTTCAAGAAGTCCAGCGACTAGCGGAATTATTTGCTACTGAAAATTCCCAGAAAATAAAGGTCCATTTTGCCACGGAAAAGACACCCCAAGAGCAATTAAAAGGCCAGAATGGAACCACGGAAAAAAAAGACGAAGAATTCCATATTTACTTAAATCTGGAAAGAAAGGATAAACAGGGAAATTTTTGCCCTAATTTAGTCTTCTGAACTCTAACTAATGAACTTTCGACAATAGGCGGTGGTGAACCAGCCAAAAACCCTGACTTTTGGCAGCATTTTGACCAACAACAGTTATGAGTAAAGGAAAATCTAACTGAAGAATATCAAAAACAATTCACTTCCTTACTTACTCCCTCTACTTTTCCCCAGGAACTATTAGAGATAAAGGATTTATACCAAGTTTATTTTCCTAATTTAGAGGATATCCCAGATAGTCAAACTAGTCAAGCCCTAGTCAACCCAGAAATAGTGGATAAAACTTGGTCAATGATTCGCCAAGAATTAATAGAATTAACTAGCCAAGAAGTAAAAAAAAATCCCAGTGAAGAAGAATTAAATAAACTAGCCATTAAGGCAACCATTAATGGTAGTGCTGACCAGCACTACACTATTTTAGTAAACTATCATTCACAAAGTCCTTGCCAAGAAAAGATAAAAGAACTAATTGCTACTACTCCTTTACAGTTAGAAAACGAAGCTTTGAAACAGAAAACTAGTCAATTACCTAGTCCGGAGAATTTTGCTAAACTAACTAAACAAAAAACCGAGTTAGAAAATTATCTGCAAGATTATATGAGTGAAGAAGATTATCAGGAAATTCGCAAAAAAATAGACCAAATTAAATAAAAATATGAAAAAAGCCTCAGAAAACATTATTAAAAAAAACGCCCAAGAGTGAATAGAAAAAACCTACCCGCGCTTAATCCAAAAAAACCTGAAAAAGTTGGATATTAGTAATCAAAACTTAGCGGGTTCGCTCGATTTGAATTATTTCACTAAATTAGAAGAATTAAAGTGTTGCAATAATCCTTTAACTGCTTTGATGTTATTTGACTGTCCTAATTTAAAAAAATTGGAGGTGGATAAGGAAGTGCAAATATTTGCTCGCCACAACATCAAAGAATTAGTAAGGAGTGAGTTGGCGAAAAAAGATGAAAGCCAAAGACAAAAACGCCAAGCCCGAATAGTCCCAGCCTATGCTTTAATTTGGAATAATATCCATGCTGATTTTACTCTCGAACTAACCAAAGTCTGGCAAGATTTAGGTTTTACTCAAGAACAAGTCCACGACTGAATTAAGGTTGGTTTTCAGCCCACTGATTATGAAGTTTGCACTTGGTTGCGGGATGTAGCGAAAAAAGATGTGGAATGAATTTTAAATAATGCCACCCGCCAAGGAGTAGAGCGAAATTTTTTGCTGTGAAAAGAAAATCAAAAGCAAATTGAATTACAAACTCAAATTGAACAATTACTCCATGGCAAATATTAACCTTTAAAAATTATGAATAATACAATTAACGCCCAAGAATATTTAACTGACAAAAATGTTAAAGAAATCAGTTCAGCCGAAACCAAACTAACGGGGGAACTAATCATCCAAGATTATCCCAGTTTAGAGCAAATAATTTTAGCGAACCATGAACTAACTTCTTTAACGATTAACAATTGTCCTAATTTAAAAAGTTTGAATGTGCGGAATAATCAATTAACTAAATTAGAGTTTAACCAAACTCCTGAAATAGAACAAATAATTGCTGGTAAAAATGAATTAAGTATTTTAGATTTAACTAACTGTTCTAAACTTAGAGAATTAATTATTCCTGATAATCCTTATCTTTTGGAAACAAAAGGATTAAATTTATCAACTATTACTAATCTTAATATTACCAATACTTCGGTTAATTTAACTCAAGATTACGAAGAATTAAAAAACGAAAAAGAAAGGTTATTAGGAGTGATAGAAACTTTAAAGGAAGGAGGAGAAGAAGGCAAATTAATGCTCACTGAAGCCATTGAAAGTAGTAGCCAAGTTGAGGAAACAATTCAAAGGCATTTACAAAAGACCGAAAAAGAATGAAAAGAATATTTGGCTCATCCAGAGAAAGCTTTGCCTGCTTTTCAAGTTCCCGAAAGTCGTCAAAAGGCTAAAAAAGTATTAATATTAATTGCCGAAGCCCAAACGAACCGCAATTATCAAGAATTATGCGATAAATGGAACGGGAAAGGAGAACACAATGGCGATAATGATTTTGATTGCGGTAGTTTAAAAATCCTAATGGATTATTTAAAGGTTAGAAATTATTTTAGAAAAAAAGAAGAGCAATTTTTATTAAATAGAAATTTAAAAGTTTATGAATAAAGAATTATTAAATAATAACAATGAGACTGGTTTAAACCAGAAATTTTTTAAAGAAGTAATCGAAAACAGTCATCTTTCTGAAGAAAGTAAAAAAAGATTAGGAGATTTAGATAAAGGATGAAAAAATGATCAAGTGAAAGAAACTCTAAAGGAGGAGGATAAGTCTAAAATTCAAGTTTACGAAAAGTTAGAGGTTAAAGATTTGCCCAAAGATTGAAGAGAGCAATTAATTCGTTTAAAACATTTAGAAAAATTATTGACTGATTATGAGCCTAAAATAGAAGAATTAAAAACTTGAACCGATACTTTTGGTGAGCAAAAACCGGAAGAAGTTCAGTCCAAATTTACTAATTTAGAAGAAGAATATAAGACTTTTAAGCAAAAAAGTGAAGAGCAAATTCAAGAACTAACTAAAAAATGTGAATTAGCAGAAAATAAAGTTAAAGAATGAGAACAAAACTTTCCTAATCAGACTGCTTTAATTGTTGAGCAAGAAAAAGAGGAATTGAAAAAAAACTTAGGAGAATGAATTGAAAATTGGGGCGGTAAAGAATTAGCGGAAGTTAGAGCAGAGTGAGAAGAATTAAAAAAAAGACCCAACATTGAGATTACTGAACAGCAATTTTGAGATGATTATGTGAGGAGAGAAAAGAAGGAGCAAAGTAAATTAAAAGATGAAGAATTAGTCAAAGAAAAAGAGAAAGTAAAAAACCTTACCGAAAAAAATAGAAAATTATTTTTTGCAGTTAACAGTTATTTAAAAGCAATCAGAACTAAAAAATATACCTCCATGAAACCGGTTTCAACTATTAAACAGGCTCGAGAGGAAATTGCTAAATTGTTGGAAGAAACTGAAAATGGGTGAAATTACTATTTAGAGGGCAATGATGAAAATATTACTAAGACAACACTTGAATTAAGATTAAGCACTTGGGAAGAGAAAAAGGAACAGTTAGTTCGGCAAATCTTAGAATGAATTAAGGAAGCGCGGGTTACCTTGGATTATGAAAAGTTGCTGGAAAGGTGAAACAATATCAAAAAAGAAAATGAAGAAAATGGTTTTGACGGTACTCCTTATTTATTAGAGAAATTATTAGAAGTCAAAGATTTTGAAGCACCACCCGTGATTAGTGCAAAAGAGGAGGGGGTATTATAAACAATGGAATACAATGATATTTATAGAAATTTAGATTGTTTTCAAAGTTTCCAAAACAGTCTGATTAAAATTATTAAAACTTACTATTTTGGATTGACTTGTAAATTAACGGGAGAAGGTAAGTTATTAACGATTTGGTTTAATTTTGTCAAGATATTAATTAATCAAGGGAGAGTAGCAATTATTTATTATGGAGGCAATTTACTATTGGCTGAAGTTGTTGATGGCTATCCAACTCAAACTGGCGAATGAGCCGATTTGAGAGTTCTGTTTTTTGGTGATAAGAAAGGAAATGAATTTACTCCGGGAGAAGGTCAGTATGTTATTTTCCAGTGAGGGGAGGGAAAACCTTTTGACTTATCTGAATTTAGGCACGATATTTTAGAAATGTGATACTTAAAAGGATTAATTGGTTGAGACCAAGATAAAAGTAAAAAACGAATTACTATTGAATTTGAAAAAGACCCGGGTAAAGATGGTTGAAAGAACCCTATGAATTCTTATGAACATGGATTTATTGGAACAATTGCACCAGGCAAGACCACTAATCCAATTAAGAGATGAGATTATTTTATTCCTAAGGATACGGCCGAACGGAAGCAATTATGACAAGATTTAAAGGAGGTAGAAAGCAGATTTTTTTTCAAAGTAGGAATGAGGCATAATCCTTTTGCCAAAGAGGAAAGACAAAATAATCCAGAAATTGTCAGCGGACAAGCCTATTTTGATGCCTGAGAATTAGACAAACAAGAAGGAATTATTAAAGGTATTTTAGATTTTCAAGGAAAAACTTGGGGAGGCGGGAAATATAATTTACAATTTGGTAGTTTACCCACTTTATTAATTGAAAATCAAACTACTCAATTATTATCTCATGTCAATAATTATCAAAATAACGCCCAACCTTTTTTAAATACTAAAGAAAAGACTTCCGATTTTTAACAATATGAATCAACAATACATTTTAGAACTAGAAACTAAAAATAAAGAGTTAGAAGCTCAAGTTGCTAACTTTCAAAAAGAACAATCGGCCTCTATCACTGCTTTTAAGGAAAAAGAAAAAGAGATAAAGGACTTAAATTTTAGTCTGAATAATCTGAATATTGAACATGAAAATAGTAAAAAGAAACAGCAAGAATTAGAACAAAAGAATAAAGAAATTTTAAAGGAACTAAAAAAAGCCAAAGAATTGGTTAAAGGCAAGGATGAAGTAATTGCTAACTATGTTAATGAAACTCAAGAAATTCAACATACTAAGGAAAAGAATGATATTTTAAGCAAAGAATTAAATAAAGTTAAAGAAAGAGCCAAAGAGCTAGTAATACAAAATAGTCAATTAGTTTTAAAATATAAGAATTTAGAAAATAAATATCAAAAGCAAGAAAAATCTCTGCTAGAAATTGATAATAAACTAACTGCTGAATGAGAAAAGAATAGGATTTTAGAAGAAAAATTAGCGGAAAAAGAAAATAATTATTTCGACTATTCCGACCAAGACTTACATAACCCCAAACTTAATCCTTATGTAGGAAAAGCTAAGGAATTACAAGAGCAAATTCTTGATTTACAAGAAGAATTAAGAGAAACTAAAGAAAGGATTCCCAAAACCCCGATTTTTCCCTTGAACAATCAATTCAAGGGAGTAAGAGGAATAAAATAATTAATATGACAACAATTGAAACTTGACTATCGAAACTTACGAAAGAAAAATGCTTAATTCTAACTGATTTATATTTGGATGATGAGGATTTAGAGGGTAAATTAAAATTAGAATGAAAAGATTTTCCTAAATTAGAAAGAGTTTGGCACCATCATAAATTAAGGATAATAACTAATTATGAATTAAGTATTGCCACACTTTTGGAAATAAAAGACCTTGAGGGGTTGTTTCTAGAAACTGAAAGTAATGTTCAGGTTTTGAAGTATACCCCAGCCGAAGAAGTAATGGAAGAATTGTATCCGGATACAGATGAAAACAAAACAATCACTAGTTTAAATCTAACCCAAAAAGGATTGCGAGGAGTTTTGGATTTAGAAGATTTTGAGAGCCTAGAAGAATTAACTATAAATTTAGATTGTCCATGAGGAAGAAAATATGCTAAATCTAACCATATTACTGATTTGGTCTTACCCACTTCTTTAAAAAAACTAAATTTAACTAATAATCCTAATGATTGAGACTTATCAAAATTGGCTACTTTAACTGATTTGGAAGAGTTAAATTTACAAGGAGATAGCAAATATCCCGCTCAATGAATTGGTTCTTTAGAAGAATTAAAAAAGTTAAAAAATTTAACTAAATTAAATATTTCTTACAACCCAAACATTAGATTAGGACTAGAAAATATTAAGAATTTGGCAGAAGTGGAAGCAAAAGGAACTATTTACGAAAGGTCTTTGAAATCTTTTAATGGAGATGTTAAGGCTTGAAAAGTGATTATTCACCAAAAAGATGTTTCAGAGGATAAAGATGAAATAATTCAGAAAATTAATGAATATTTAGAAAAGTCACATGAGTTTTTAAAGAAATTAAATGAAAGAGGTTATACCGACCGAGACTTAGTGAATAAGATTGAGTTATTGGAGGCTAGAAATAGAGAATTGATTAAATAATGACAATAGATGAAGCACTTAAAAATTATTCCTTAAAATGTTCAGAAATTGGAGAAAGTAAAGAGGAACAATATTGAATTTTCGTTAATTACAATAAAAGAACTTTTTGAAGGGCAATCGGTCAAGACCCGAGAGAAAATGAGGCATTAAAGAATAAAGTACTGAAAAGTTATTAAAGAAGAAATTTTAATTTTGGAAAGTGATGATGCCGAAAGGATAAAGTTACAGAAGCGACTTAAAGATATTACAATTCTTAACGCCCTATAAACTATCAAAAATATGCCTAAATGTTGAATTCATGTTGAAACTGCTACAACAAAAAAAACTACACCCTTAAAAACTCATCCGGGATTTCCCGAAGATAGTATTAAACAAGGTCTGGCGCTTGCTTTGATTTCTAAACCCCAAGTGAGAGATTTGGCAATCCAACCTCATCGTCATTGAGAGTTTGAATTTAAGGACAACCAAATAAAGAAACTAAAAGAGGAAAAGCAACAATGAAAAGAAGTATCAAAAAACCTAGAAAAACAAGCCGAATCCTTACTTGGTAAAGAATTAACCATTGAAGAATTTAAAGAACAAATCCTAATTCTCAAAGATTTATTTACTAAAGCTGATTTACCTAATACTTTTGCTCTATTGTTGGAAAGTTGGGAAGAATTAGTGAAAATTAACCATATTTTCGAAAACCTTGGTCAGCGTTTTCCACATTTTTCTGATAATGATGAAAGTTCAAGTAGCGAGGATGAAGGTGGTGGAGAAAACGACGATGATAGTGATGAAGAGACAAATAATTCAGAAAGCGGTAGTGAAAATGGCGATGACAGTGATAATGATTCCGATTCTGAGTCAGAAGAAACTAAACAGAAAGGAAAAGAAAGAGAAAAATTAGAAAGGGAAAAGGCAGAAGCGGAAAGGCAGGAACAGGAAAAAAAGAAAAAACAACAGGAAGAGCAAACTAAACAAGCTGAACGGGAAAAAGAATTAAAAAAATGGAGAGATATAGATATTAATTTCACGGAAGAATTAGTAAAAGAATGGGTAAATAACGGCTTTAATTATGATACTGCTAAGGAGTGAATGGATATTGGCATGAACCCCCAAAAAGATGTTGGTTATTGTGCTTGATTAAGAAGTATTAAGAAACTAACCCCCGAACAAGTATTAAATTATGGAAATAGGGCTGAATTATGAAATAAATACCAAGAATTCATGAGCGAAAAAAATTAAAAAAGGAACTCATCGCAATTACACCGAAGTTTTTAAAGCAAAAGGTAAAATTGAAAATTATGATGAAACCACTGCCACTTTAACTTTTGGCAAAAAAGCCAAGATTGAAGGGATTATAGAATACTTTCCCTTATAATATAACTATTAACTTATGAAAATACAAGGATTAACCGAAAAAATTAACCAAACTTTAAGCGATAAAGACAATACTATTAATTATTTAGAAGAGGAACAGCAAAAATACCAAGAATTAACCAAAGAAGTTAAAGAAATATTAACTAAATACGGTGTCTCAAACTTCACACAATTAAGTAATGGCATTCAAGGCCTTTTGTCTGACCGAAAAAAATATAAAGACGAACGAGACCAAGCCCGATTAGAAATCACCGAAAAAGATGACCGTATTGCTCAATTAGAGAAATTGTTTCACGGCACCGCCAAAATATTTAGTAAACAACACAACTATGTTGACCAATTAAAAGAGCGATTGGAGCAAGAAAAACAAAACAAAGGCATAAGTCCAGAACAAATGGATCATTTACAAGCTGATATTAAACGGTTGGATGAGGAAAAACAACAATTAACTGAGCGAATTGAAGAATTAGAGGATAAGGAAAAATTCCTCAAAGAATTTAGAGATAAAGAACTAACTGAGTTACGGAAAGAAAAACTAACTATTAGTGATAATTATGAGAAATTAAGAACTGATATTAATGATGTTTTAAAACCAATAAATCTTGAAACCACTATTGCTGAAAATGCGACAGAAGATGAAATTTTACTTATAGAAATTAAAAAAGTAGTGACAGAATTAACCAAAGAACAAGGTTGGTGGGATAAGTGGATTAATGATGAAGCAATCACTACCATGTCGTTATCGGCAGCAAATTATATTTATGCACAAAACATAGCTAATTCGTATTGAACCATTCATGCTGTGGGACGACGAAATGTTAGAGAAATTATTTTAACAGCAGATGGTTTAAATAAGGTAGGAATTTCTTTAAAACAATCTAAAGAAGTAATGAAACTATTATACCAATGTTACCGAGATAAATAATTATGGTAAGTTTTTGTAGTATTCAGAAATTAATTTAATATTTTTTTTAAATTCATTCACACTTTGTCAAGCAATATCTAAATCCGTGAAATGAGTGGGAAAAACAACTTTATAAATTAAATAATTATCACTCTCTTCAGAAATATTAATTCCAATCACATTTCGAAAATTATTTACATCTCTTTCTGGCAATCCTATCACATTATCTTTTTTTATTTTAATTCACATCATTTTTATATTGCTTCAATTTGTGTGATCATTTCTTTCTTCATTCATCCACTTATTCCACCAACCTTGTTCTTTGGTTAATTGTTGTTGAAATAAACGATAAAATTATTTATAATATGACCGATACTTTTACTTGTAATAATTGCGCTGAGGAGAAAAAAACGGAGGAGCTGGCTAGCACTGTGCCAGTTTATGGCGAAGAACCAATAAAAACTTGCCGAGAGTGTTACAACTTTTATCATAATCCTCCCAAGGAAAAAAAGAAAGAAGAAAGATTTTTTTGCTCTTTTTGTCGCTTTGAAGTGATTAGCATTAAATATCGCAAAAGAGTTTCAGTTTCCGAACCTAACGAGTTAGGCTTAAAAAATGGTGAAACCTATAATTTTTGTTCGGTTTGCCGAAAAAAAGTAAGAGACTATAACGAAGCTGAGGACAGGGACTTAGAAAAAAAACCTTTTGAGGTTTGAGAATAATATGGAATTAGAAATTAAAGAAAAAACAATTTTAAAAATTGGCGACAAGGAATATATTTTTACTTGAAACGAAGAAAAAAATAATTGAGTGGGAAAAATAGGTAGTATAACTTTTAAAATTTATGAAAACTAGCAAATTAAAGTGTGAAAAATGTGGCAACTGCCAAAATCATTGCGAATGTGTTATTGAATGTCGCAAATGTGATTTAGAACTACTTAAAAAAGGGATTATTCCTAAAAAACTTAAAGCATCACTTAATTTAGAACACGATGGCATTGATATCAACAACGGAGATATTGATATTCATTACCCACCAAAAAAAGAAGAAGAAATAATAGAATAAATATGAATATGAAAAGAATTATTAAAAAAAGTACTACTATAACTGAAATGATTGTTAACGATAATGAGGAAACTTTTATCATTGATCGCAAGCATAGCGTTAAAAACAATTCTCAATTAATCACTGAGACTATAGCTAATAAAGATTTAGAAAATTGAAAGGAATTAGACGAAGTTTACCGGAAAGAAATCGCTAAGGAAATAGAAGAATATAGAAAGAAAAACGAATTACCAGATACCTCTAATCAAAAAAAATAAAAAATGGTTGAAGAAGCAAAAAAACTTTCTGCAAAAGATTTTCCTCAAAATAGTTTAGGTCGGGTTTTTCCTGATTTTGAAAGTTTTTGAAAAGAATTAAAGCCCCGATTAGGGTTTGTTATTTTTAGAATTATCAAAAAAGTTAATGAGGATGGTAAAGTCAATTGACAAGAAACTTGAGTAGAAACAAGAAAGGAAGGACTAACTTCATATAATTCCGAATTAGGATTAGGAATTTTAGCTAGATTTATTGGTGAAAACTTTTACTTAAAATTCCGTTCTCGGGAATATGTTAGCGAACAAAGAGAGTTTGTGGATGAATTTTTAGCCGAGTTAGCCATGGTAATTGTTGAAATTAGAAGAAAAGAGCATGTTTGAAGCCAACTTTTCTTAGAAATAAACAAAATAATTCAAGTTGATAGAACGGAAACTGAAAAAACTACTGGTAGTGATAAAGGGGGCAAAACTACCCAAGGAGACACTTCAAAATTTCAAGTTTTAGGCAAAGGGTTGACTGATAAGAACATTCAGCATGGCACAGTTTCAAGTTTTGACCAAAAAGGGACTAATATCATTCACACTCATAAAGGTGTTAATTATGCTCCATTGGGTAAAATTCTTAGCGCGTTAAGTAATCTTCAAATTAACTTTTCTGAATTTTATCCCAGATTTGAGCATTTGTGAAACCATTACTGCACTCCAACTTTAAAATATGTAAACGATAAAACTACTGGAGGAAGAATATGAGTTACGGAAGAGGAGTACGAAGAAATTATGGAGCCAGATAAACCAAAACCTAAAAAATTAGGAACTGACCCTTATGAACTTTTGGCTAAATATGAAAAAACTAAAAATTGGGCTGATTATTTAGAAGCCTTAAAAGCCTATCACGACCAAAATGAGAAAGAATGATTGTCCTTGCCCGATTCTAGTAATCGAAAAAACCGAATTGAAAGACGAGTTAAAATTGCTGCTGGTTGTTTAAAAGCTTATGAAAAAGAAGTTACTCTGCCTAGTAGCCAGGAATTTCGAGATAGAATAGCGGGAAATGTGCCGGGATTTAATAAAGTAGTTGGTTATGAAAATATTATTGACATGGTCGCTGATTATTTGGATGAATGAGAGTATGTTAAAAAATGAGGTGGTAATAAACCAGAGCAATTAATGATTGGTATGCTTGGAGATCCAGGATTAGGTAAATCTTATATCTCTGAAGCAATTGGTAAAGCACTGGGAGATGGCAAAAGGCTTAGTTATCACCGAGTTTTAATGACTGGTAAAAAAGATGGTTCGGTAATTGAAGGTGGTAGTATGGAAAATCCTGGGGGAGACCCTGGGGAAATAATTAAAGGAATTAGTCGTTGTCAAAATCAATCAATGGTCTTTCTTTTTGATGAAATTGAAAAAGCTGGTCGAGATGCTAAACTAGCAATTGGTGAACCAACCGACCGAACTAATAATAAGAAATTTAAAGATGTTTATTTTGATTTTCCCACTCCAATTAACAATGCTATCTTCTTCTGTGCTTTGAACTATGCTGAAGAATTAGACCCTTTTATTAGAGACCGATTTAAAATGATTGAGGTAAAGCCTCCTACTTATCAGCAAAGATTAGAAATTTTAAGGGCTTTATTACAATCCAAAATTAAAAGTGAAGAGGAACCTTTGAATAAAATTTATCACAAAACGTGGCAAGAAGTTTATAACTTGGTTAATCAGGAAGCAATTTTGAAAAAGGCTTTAACCAAAAGCTTCAGTATTCGAGGTGCTAAAGATAATATTACTACTTTGTTTAGAACGATGAGAACTCAATTTTTTATGAAGCAAAAAGCCTTGCTAGATGCTAATGGCTGGGCTAATTATAACTGGAAATTTGACCCCAAAGAGGAATTTGATTTAGGAAATAAGTCTCGCAATAGACCACCTTGCCCTTATGGCGAAGAGAAAGATAGAACAGGAATTTCTAATAAAGAACACCGAACAGGTTGTAAATGTTTTGTTAATAATTTACATAGAGTGCCAGGATGAGAGGAGAACATGGGAGAGAATTAAGTTATTTGTGAATCAGAGAAATATTTAATAACTTTTTCTTTTTCCAATAACTAAATATCATAGCCTTTGTAAATTTCACTAATTCCTTATTTATAAAGTACGATTTAGTAACATTGATGTCTCAAATTTTAACATACTTTTATAATTTTCTTAATTTCCTTTTTATAATTCTTTTATTTCAGTTTCTAATTGCTCAACTTCTCCTTTGGCACTAAAAAATTTTACTAAATTATAAATTCAAATTCCCAACGGAAGTAAGAAAGCCAATATTATTCCTATTTTTCAAAAAACGCTTATTTTAATTGTGTGTCCTCCATAAGTATAAAATTCAGAGGTTAATATTTTGGAAAAGTCCTTAATCATGGTCTTAAAAGGAATTTCGGTCAGCAATCCCGAACTAGGATTATTGAGAGCTTGAACTTTCAATTGTACTTTAAGTTGGACTCAAAAAATAAGAATGGTAATTAAAGGTAATAATCATTGGGCGACCACTAAGTTAATAATAAACTGAGTAAGATAACTGTTCTTTTTGCTTTGCTTACGACTTAACTCACGAAGCAATATCCTCCTTTCGCTACTGCTCCTATCTTTGACCTTGTGCTTCGGTTCATTATAGTGAATAGTTTCGTCAGAGAACAAACTCGATTTATTTTCGGTAGGTGGGGTTATCGCCTCCCCTCTCTGCTTTTTCCCTAAGCAAGAACGGCAAATCTTGCCTTCATAAATAGTTTCTCCGCCAAAAAAGTCTTCTTGATATTTGATGTTACAAATACCACATCAAAAATCTCCTCCTTTTTTAACTTCTTCTTCCTCTGGACTGCGACCAAGAAAGAAACTAATTAAGGTAGGAATTCAAAGCAAAGGAAAGACCCAATTGAAGATGCCAATAATACAAATAATTATTCCTATTACCAAGATTGAAACCGCGGCAGTTTTGTCTTTCCTCTTAAATAAACGAATAAGTTGCAAAATCCAAAATATAAGGGAAACTATTCCGATTATTGCAACGATTAAGACCCATATTCCTAAACCAAACAAAAGACTATCTCAATCCATATTTTTTATTCTTTCTACTTTTAATTAAGGCAATAACTATTCCTAAAACGCCAATTATTCCTATTCCGCCAATAATTCAAGGCCAAACTGGTTTATTAGGATTTTGTTCTGTTTGAGTTTTAAGTTTATTAATTTCCTGCTCCAATTCCTGCTTATCCATTTTATTTTTCCCTGTTTTCTTTAAATAATCTTTGAACTTTTTTCACATACTTTTTTGTTCCGGTTCCATTAGAGTAGAAGTTTCCGAAAGTTCTTCATCACTAATAGTTTGAGGAGGAGGAGGAGGAGGACTATTTGGATTAGTTTGATTTTGATTAAAAGCGATTACTAATTTTCCATTTTCACTGGTGATGGAGTGGATGCTGTTGGCGGTAAAGTATTGTTGAAGTTGGGCTAAAGTGGATAAAAAGTTTTGGAATTGTTGTTTATTGGGAGAATTATTTTTTGAACATCCTTGGCATGTTCTAATATCTCCAAAAATATTTTTGACTAGTTTACCACAAGTAGGACAGTCTTCTCTCATTTTATCAGTAAATCAACTATCTGCTCCTCTAAATTCGCTTCATAATATTATTCTGCCCTCAACTTTATAATGAATTTCTTGACCGCAACTTTTTGTTATTACCTCTTTGGCTTTTATTTCTCAATCTTCTAAACTGTTAATGGTTTCTTGACAAATTTCACAAACTTGACCGGACTTAATTTTGTAAAATTCAACTCAAACAGGAATATAAGAACCTCCTTGACTTGTTCCAGCCCTACAAACTTGGTCATGAGTTCGGCCTTCGCCATCTAACTCCTTGCTATCTTCATCAATATATATTTTCTTTCATGGACACATGGGGCCAGAAGAGCAATTAAGTTTATTAAAATTGTGGCAACAATTACATTCACTTTTTTCTTTCAATTCATACCTATTGGGTTCTGTCCGAACTTTTTTTTGTGCTTCTTGTCATGCTTTTTCACACAAAGCACAGTTATTTAATCAATTCGGCGGTCATCCATTTGATTTTTGCTCTCTCTCTCTCTCTCTCTCTCTCTCTCTCTCTCTCTCTCTCTCTCTATGATTATTATTCTCTCCTATTATTTCTTTTAATTCTTTAATAACTTGGGAAAGAGTATCTAAAAATTTTGGACTACTTTCATACATTTTTCTCATTTTCTGAAAGTCTTTTAATTCTTCTTCTTGAGTTGTTTTGGAAAAAACATAAACTCCAAAGTCAAAATGTTCAGAAAATCCCCCCCAATCTATTTTTTTATCATGGTCGGGTAAGGCTTCAATTAAGGGCAATAACTCTTGAGCTGTTTTTTTGTCTACTTTACTTAATAACAAAGGACTTTGTGGCTGTCATCCATAGTCGGAATAATAACCATAAGCTTTCTTTAAGTCTTCGTTATAAGTATCCATTACTTTTTTAATTATTTTTTTGATTTCAATTGATTTTGACATATTTTTATAAAATTATTGATTTCAATTTCTTGTATTTTATCTGAGTTATCCCTCCCAAATTTGGTTCAGTAGTTTTTAATCATAGTTTACCATCGTTAGTCATTTCTGCCTTAATTTTTCCTTCCTCTAATTTTCTATTCAGCACTTTTATCAACAATAATTCCTCTTCGGCATTTTGGGGTGAAATAACCAAATCGGGGTCAGACAATTCCTGCACAATTTTATTGATTTGTTCCTCGGGTAAACCAGGAGCATAATTATCTTTACTTTTGTTTTGGATTAGAGTTTTTTTCATATCATTTTATAATTAACATTTCTTATCATATTTACTTCGCCGATGACAATTGAGAATTCACAAACGAGAAATACCTACCTTTCAATATCAAACTAACCGATAGGCTTTTTTGTCCTGGCAAAAGGGTTCTCAAAAAAATGATTGTCATTCCGTTCCATCCGGTAATTTACCTTGAAGTTTTGGAATAAAATCTCTTTTCTTATCTAATTGCTGAACTATTTTGAGAATAAGTTCATCGCTCATATAAGAGCCATGTTCCTTTTCATAATGAGAACTAATGATTATTAAATCAAATTCTCAATCATTAACCGCTATTTTCTTTTTTAACGGATAGGGACGATAAACAATCTTTTTATTTTTCATCTTTATCTATATATTTATATTTTTAGTTGTATGATTTAATTTTATACAACATTAGCATCATTTCCCCCAATAATTAACCTAAAATAATTTAATCAATGACTAGTCGGGGTGCTTATTTTAAAGAATACAACCAAAAACCAGAGAGGAAAAAATATCTTACTCAAAAATCACAAAAAAGATATCAGCAGCAAAAAAAAGGAACTGGCAAGATAATTTGTCCGAATTGTTCAACTGTTTGTGAACTTCAATTAAATATCAAAAGAAAATAGTAATTAACCTCCTAAATTTTTAATAGTGTTTTCTACTTCGGATAAAAAGCATTCGTAAGTTCTGCTTTCGCTCTCCGCTAATTTTATTCATTTTTCTTGATTTTCTCCACATTGTTGCCAAGTTTTGTGTAAAATTTGGGCTAATTCTTGTCATTTAGCCAATTCTGAGGAGTTTTTTTCTAGTTCGATAGTATTTTTTTTAATGTACTTAATCATATGACTGATTTTTTCATGATTAAATTAAAATAAGTTAATATCAATGAGAGCCTTTATACGTTGAGTTTTTTTTGAAGGCGATAGTATTCGAAAAGTTATCAAAAATAATGAGAATAACGAAAACTGACCTAATGCTAAAAAATTTGTCACAATACTAAAAGATTGACAAGCTAAAATCAATAACCAACAAAAAGAAATCAACCAAATTGAAATCAAAAACAACAAAACTCGCGAGTTAATGTCAAAGGTTCAATCTTGATTTATCAACGAGCATAACCTTTTGGGTAAGCCAGCCAAACGAGCTTGATTAGCAAAACAAAATGAATTAAGAATATTAGAAAGAGAATTACAAGTTCATCAGTATAATTTAGACCATCCCAAAGAAAAATTAGAAGAATTTGAAAAAAAATGCTTACTAAAAAAAATTGAGATTGGCAAAAGAAAGATTGGTAATTGTAAAGATGAGTTAGAAGAAATTACTGAGGCCTATGAAAATGAAAAAAGAGAATTATGCCAACGATTATCTTATACTAAAAAAGATATTCCTGATTTATTTTTAAGAAATCCAGAAGAACGAATTGACCCGCTTACTCGTCGAATAATAATTACTTCTGAACATTATCATAAATGATGGGAATATTTTCATAAAATCCACCTAGATAGTGAACCGCTTGCCAAACTAAATGACATTATTGGTGAATGATATGAGCATAATGGAGGTGAAGGACCTGAATATAATCCCTATGAAATTCATGTAGAAGAGAAAACTGATGATAGCCTGTTTTTTGTTTGGAAACCAGTAGAAAGAGAGTTAGAAAGCCTTGATGAAAAAGGAGAAAAAGTAATGATTAAAGGACAATACTTAGCCCTTTGTAAAAATTACCTCTTTAATTACTACGGAGAGTGATATGAATTTTCCAACTATCAGCAGTTAAATTATAATTTAATCTTGGTTGAGGCTCAAAAGTCAATTTTCTACAATGATTATTGAAATTTGCTGAGATGCCAAGCCAACCTTATTCTCCATCATTCTACTTTAGGAATTGGAGAAATTTGCTCTTGCCCAAGTTATGAAGTTTATACTAGCAAAAATAAATTTAGTTTGGATTATGAATTGAAATTTGACCTTTATCGATTAGGAAGAAAAGAAAAAGATTTGAGATGGCATGTAAAACATGATAGTATTGAAGTAATCGGTGGGGAATATCCGAGGAGAGTAGATAATATAGATAAAGAATTTAAAGATATGTTTGGATTTTGAACAGATTTTAAGGATGTAATGGCAGGTCAAAGAGCAACTTTATACTTTTTGTTAAGTAAAAGATTATTTCTAGAAACTACAGAAACAGAAACGGGTAGAATTTGATCCGTTTCGTTTTTTCTTTGTCCTAATAAAGAAGAAAGCAAAATACCGGTAAAGACAATACCCCACATTCAGTTCAAGAGAGTTGGAAAATTTGATAAAGAAAAAAAAATTAGTCGTTTAAGAGATGACACTTTAAATGATTTTTTAACAGAAAAAGGACTTTGGAAAGAAGAAATGTACCATTTTCGCAGAACTCATATTAAAGCAATTCTATATTGGAGAGAAATGAAAATCTGACAAGGTAACTACTGAGATTTGCAAAATGAGGGGATGATTGTTGAAAGTGTTTCTCCCTCCGGAAACTGCGTGACATTTATGGGTGGTGGCCGTATTTTAGCAAAAGTTACCGAACTAGTTACAGTTAAATTGGGAATGGATACAGAAGGATTGTTAAATACAATAATAACTACCGCAACTACTGTTGCTGCTACTTATGCTGGTGGAGCAACGGCAGCAGGAGCGAAAGGAAAAGTCGCTAAAAAACTTGCCGCAACATCAGCGAGAGCAGTAGTTGGAGCGGCAGGCGGAATGGCTCAATTGGCTCACAATGAATTAATGACTACTCCTACTTACAGCGAAACTACCCATACCATGACTTTTCACGAGTTCCGACACAAATATTTGTTTAGTAAAGACCGTCCAATTTCTTTGTGGGTAGAATATAACCAAGAATTAGCCAATCAATATCGAAACAAAAGAGAACTTAAAGGACCAATGTTTTATAATTATACAAACTTAGATTTTTTGGGTCGCGTTCTATCTCAAAAAGATTTCTTGAAAGCTTCGGTTTTTTCGTGAAACATGAATAAAAATTCTGAATGGTTTCGAAACAAAATCGAAAGCGGAATCTATCTTTATGATGATGATTATCTAGATTTTTACCAGAAAAAATTGTCCGATGCTGTGGTAGCAACCAGTGAGGGCGGAATGACCTTAGGTGACTGAAATGAATTTACTGTTACAGGTGGAGCGGGTGAAACAATTTTAATAACAGCTGATATTAGTGATGCAGATTATAGTAATGTGGATTATATTGGTTCTCCTGATGCTAATATTTGAAATGAGATAAATCGGGGTAATAATGGTGTTCACCCTGGTTTTACCAATGGTGTTCATAATAATTGTTTGGGTTGCTTAGTAGGAGGAGGTTCTAACCATAAAAATTGAAAAGGAAACCAAGATTATACCTATAATTTTACTAGTGGAGGCTCTGTTGTTTTAAAAACAAGAAATAGCGGACCACAAACTGCCACTATTCCTAGCGGAGGAGGAAAAGTTATTCTTAGAGTTAGGGGCAGTACGGCTCAATTAGTGTCAATAGGCGAAAAACCAGAAACAGTTAGAAATCCAAGTGGCATTCCTGAAGGAATTCCGCCAAGCAAAACTTTACCAACCGACCCTACTTATGCTAATAATCCACCCACAACCCCCTTCAACCCCAACCAATTCCCTTCTTCAGGCAATTTAGTCCCTAATCCAACTGGTTCGGGTGAACAAGAATTTAATATTCCCGACATTGATGTTGTTCCCGACCCTGACTGAGACCAAGGAATTGATGTTGACTTGGGCCAAGATATTGATCCAACTAAGGATACGGACAAAGGCAAAGATGATGAAGTGCCACCTGATTACGACCCATATGGTGATAATGATTAAAAAGGTCAAAAATAACTCAAAAGAGAAATAATCTTTGATTATTTTGCTCTTAAAAAATACTAACTAAATTATCCGCAAATTTGGTTAAAAAAAAGAATGATAGGAAAAATAAATAAAGTATAAAAAATATTTTGCTAATTATTCTAAATTCTACTATCTGAAAAAAATATTGACTGACCCTAATTATAATAAAAAAAGAAAGGCCCGCGAGAAAGAGTTAAAATTAATTAATAATCCTTAGCACTTGGCTTAGTATTTTTGTTCACTTTTCTTAACTGGTTATAAATTATATATCAAACTGAAAAAATGAAGCAAAATCAAAGGCAAAATTAAACAGAAAGATATTTAATTAGACAACCACCATAAGTTAAAAAGATTATTATTGTAGTTCAAAAGAACAAGTCAAAAAAGAAAAAAATCCTTTTTACCTGAGGAGAATTATTCTTTTTATACACCCAACGAAAACACGTCCATTAAATATATATATATACAAGCATGAAATTTATACTTTTATTAGAAATGCCAGTCCATGAAATAACACAGTCGCAAAGAAAAGATATACAAAAAATATTAACAGAGGTTTCTTATGACCGGCCAAAAAGAAATGTTTACTTGGTAAAAAGTGATACTGAGAATTCAATGGAAAAACTGAAAAGTATTATTATTAGCAAAAGTCATCCGAGCATCATTATTAAATATTACCAATTAGCAGAATAGTCATGAAATATCTCTTTAAAAACTTTTACGAAGCCGAAAAATATGAAGAAAAGATTGCTAAAAAATGTTGTAAGTGTGTCAGTCGCTATTTAATAAAATGTCCGATTTGCCAAGGAATTATTTGTATTAATCATGCCTACGTTATCTCCCAAGGCAAAAAAAAATCATTTGGTTGTTTTACCTGTGTGATAAAATAATTAAAAACAAAATAAATAACCAGCCAAAACTTACTCAACTCTACAATTCCCGATGGTTTTTTAGTCTCTATGCTCTTTATTTCCCTTTTGGTATTGCTCCTCAGCACTACAAATATATTTAATTTATTCTTGGTTGGAACAATAAAAAGTTGGAACAAGAATAATAAAATAAATAGACATGGTAAAAAGGGCTAAAAAACCAACCAGCACTATTAATAGTGAGATAAAAATGTCTTCACCTAAGCTTAAATTTTTAGTAAGCAAAATAGTTGCTAAATCCTTTTCAACCAAGGAACTAACCAGTCCAAATCTCCAAAAACTGCCAGCCTGACCGAACTAATTTACTAAAATATATTATATAGATGAGTAGCGAATAAATTGAGCGATAAATGAAATAATTACTAAAACATTAAAGATATGTCAAATAATATGGTAAACAATAGCAAATTTGCCGATAAGGCAGAAATAAGAAAAGCCAAAAAAATGTTGAAGAAGATTTATGATTTAGAAGCAAAGGGAATGATGAATACTGGAAAATATCATGTTTTGAATTGAGAATTTGAGGAGGAGTTAATGGATAAGTTTGATATTGATGAAGATTCTTTATGGTAATATGGATAAGTTAATAAAAATGGAAGTTACAGAAGTTAAAGTTTTTCAGTTTCGAATCAATAGTATGAATTGCTGTTGATGTCAGAAGACAAAAGAAATTTATAAAGGTCGTGCGGACGAGTTTTGGCGATGTTATGGTTGTGAAGAAGTTTCGGGAAGATGAGCCAATGGGAAACAATGATAAAAACCGGAGACCGCGAAGCCGTTAAAGACCGCGAATAATATTAGTGAATTAAGAAATCAAAGAATTACTATTAAAATAACATGCAAAGAGACACAAAAATCCAAAAAATAATAAAAAAACAAGAACTGGACTTATTATTTCAACAACTAAAAGAATTAGAATTAAAGGAAAGTTGGCAAAGATTAATAAAATAAACAAAAAAACTAAGTTTTGCCAGCAATGCTTGCTGAGTAAAGGTCGCCGTTGTTCAGCCTGCTATTACCGTCAATATAGCCAAATTTATTATTTAAAGAAAATGTTAACTGATCCGGATTATAACCGCAAAAATTATCAAAAGCGGAAAAAAATAACTGGATTAATAAAAAATTAGGATAAATAATTAATTAATTTTTGGCTCGACTAAATCCGCAATATTACGGAGTTTGCTCTTTTTTAAAGATTAAAACTGAGCCGGTGCTGTGACCAAAAATATAGATAAAGAGTTAAAGAAAATAAGGAGTTGCAGCAATAAAATGTATTAGAAAAAAAGATGGTTAACTTATTTAAAAAAGATGAGTCAATAAAACCTTATGGTGGTTATAAATTAACTTTCTATCCTGACGAATTTGTTTTGCCAGGAGGAAAGGACAAGCAATTGCTCCATATTCATGTCATTGGCCAAGAAGGAGAAATAAGAGTATATTTACCAAGATTGGATATTGAAACTAAAAGAGGTAATATTCCTCAGCAGAAGCAAAATAAAATAAAAAACTTTATCAACGACCATTATGATTTAATCATGATGAGAGTAGAAAAAGAATTAAAAAAGGTAGGAATAATTTTAAAATAATTAATTATGACAAATACCGCAGTAAAAGAAATTAAGCAAGAAGTAAATCCAAAAATAAAAGGGGCAAATTTTTCGCAACCGAAAATTGTTGCTTGTCAAACAAGTAAAGAAAAATTAACCGCCCAATTAGATGATGGTCGCGAAGTCAGTATTTTGCTTAGTTGGCTTAGCAAATGAGTTTTTAGCCGCAAAGATATTAAAGCAGAACAATTAAAGAATTATGAGATTTGAAATGAAGGAGGTAATATTTATTTTCCGGATATAGATGAGATTTTGCCAGTCCGAGTATTAGCCAAAGGTTTGTTTTCTTCCTGTGATGAAGATATGGTGAGGAATTAAAGTCGCTCCAAAAAAGCCTAGATTTTTAACTAATAATGGTCGGTCGACCTAAAATTATCCGCACCCCAGAAGAACTGAAAGCTTTACAAAAAATAAGACGGCATAAATATCAAACTTATTTTATTATTTAAAGAAATTATTAGTCAAGTACCGAACAAAGGATAATTAATATTTGTCTTTCTTTCGCCACCGTCGAGACCGTTCCGCACTAGTAGCTGGTCGGTCGCTATGATAAAGATAAGAACCGGGTCGCGGATTGCTGGGTGAATAATCACTATTTCAAGAATTAGGGTCAATTTTTAACCAAACCAAGCAAAAAGTCTCCCACTTCAAATTTTTAATTAAGTGGTGAGATGAATTGCTAAAATATAAATATAGTTTGGATTGTTTTCTGAAATCACCCAATCAATCAGCATTAGATACGCCTTGGTTGGGTTATTTGAGTGAATAATTAACTCTAATTATGGCGTATCTAACCAAAACTTATCAAGGAAGAATATATCCCAATAAAACCACAAAAAAACAATTACAATTAATTTCAAAAGGTTGTAATTTTGTCTATAATCATTTTTTAAGCCAAAGAATAGAATGTGATAAAAACAAAAAAAAGCAACCTTACAAATACGAGCAAGAAGAGGAGTTGGTTCAGTTAAAAAAGGATAATCCTTGACTAAAAGAAATCTATTCGCAAATTCTACAAGAAATTGTGGTATTAAGAATTGTTGATGTGTGGAGAAAATACCAAAAAAGAAAAAAAATTAATCCCAATTCTCATTATCCAAGGTTCAAAACTGATAATGGTTGATATGACAGTTTCACCTATTTACAAAATAACTCTTTTAAAATTGAAAAAAGTCAAGTAGTTTTCTCCCAAGGAAAAAAAGATAATCATCATCAAGAGAAATTAAGAATTAACTTAAAATTAAATCAACCAATCAAAGGAATTATTAAAATCTTAACTATTTCTTGGAAAAAAGAAAAATATTTTGCTAACTTTGCTTGTGCGGTTGAAATTCCTCCCCAAATCCCTCTAACTGAAATCAAAAGACAAGCAGGAGTAGATAGAAATGTCCGAAAACTCTTTGCTAATTCCGAAAGATGAAAAGTTGCTAACCCTAAATACTGAAAAAAAGTAGAGAAAAAGTATATTGTTCTCCAAAGGTCATTAAGTAGAAAAGCTAAAGACAGTAATAATTGAAAGAAAGTAAAGTCAGAAATGACAAGGATGGGTCAAAAAATTAGTAATCGGATGAAAGATTTAAACCATAAACTTTCAAGGAAAATAGTAAATAAATTTGATTTGATTGCTTTTGAGAAGTTAAATCCTAGCGAAATGGTTAAAAAAGTAGATAAAAAAGGTAATTATAGAAAAGTTGGAAAATGGACTGCTGATGGAATGCTAAAATCCTGTTGAACTCAACTGGCACAATTCATCACTTACAAAGTGTCGGAAACTGGTAAGTGAATAGAATTTGTTAATCCTCATAATACTAGCAAAAGATGTTTTGATTGTGGCAAGGTTAATAAAAAGTTAAAAGATGAGGAAGTATTTGTCTGCCTTAATTGCGATAATGTTGATGACCGAGATGTTAATGCCGCTAAGAATATTTTGTGAAAAGCCCAAGTTAAATTGGGTTTAGATAAAAGGCTAGGAACTTTGTCGGCTGAGCCGATATAGCCTTGTAATGTTAATTGGGTAATTAATTCCCAGTTAACCACTACGAAACTCCCATCCTCAAACTCGTTAGAGTTAGGTGGGGGTAGTTCATACTAGTGATTAAGTCTTATTCTTCTTCACCATAATTATTAGTTTCTATTTTAGTTGCTAGTAGCTAAGCGTTGCTGTCATTTACCCATTTTCACTTGGATACCTTACCGGACGTTTTTTAATTAAATAATCAAGTTAGGCTGCTAGCTCGTTATCTGGTAAGGATTTAGCACTATTACTGCTGGGGGACGCTAAGGTTTAAGAATTAACTAGTTCCGGGGACCTGATTTTGGCTTGGTAGTTCTGACTACGGATTTGCCGTCAAATTAAGGAACAGGAAAGTGAGCAAGTTTTCATCAGTCTTCGCTTTAATTTCTGAACTTGGTTGGGGCGACCGCAGGCCACGCAGTAAGGATATTTTCGCGGTGGTCGGTGGTTTTGCTGATAGGTTTGAAAATAGTTTTTATACTTATAGTAACGATTAGGTTGGCCTTGGGTCATGACTTAGATAATGATTACTGTTTATTTTATTATAATATAATTTTAGAAGCTAGTTAGGACTGGTAGTCATATAAAATAACATTATACTACATAACCTAACATAAAATAATAAAATATGCGTAATACCATCCAAAAACTTAATAAACCTTTGCTACTAAACCAGCCAAATCTTTCCGCCTTGGTTTTAACTAAGTCAAAAAGAATTAATTTGCAAATCAGTGAGTTCTTGTTAATTAAGTGTCAAAATCTAATAAAAAGTCAACATTTAGCTCATGATTACACTTATTCTAGTCTCAGTGATTTAATTAGAAAAAGTTTAACTGCTCATCGGGAAGGAAAGTTAAGTTTAACCAAGCCACGACCAAATGACAGCCCTAAAAAAACTATTGGTCTAGTTTTACCAATTGATTTATGAGAATTTCACCAAAATTTACCCGCTCGCCATCGCACTGAGATTACGGAATTATGTCTAGTTAATTATCTTAATACTATATAAAATAACATTATACTACATAACCTAACATAAAATAATATGAACCGCGAGCAAGAATTAAGTCAAAAAAAGAAAAATCTTAGTCAAGAGCAAGAATTACTAAGTAAAGAATATCATAATCTAACTACCATTATTACTGCCCAAGCTCGGCGACAAGAGATTGAAGTCCGGCAAAAAGAAATTGCCGCCGAATTATTAGAAATTCAGCGACAAATGGCAAAAGAGACTTCTTTTGTTAATCTTTCAGCTGATTTGTCCACTAATCTAATTAGCCAGTCGCTAGTAAAAGAGCAAGTTGTAAAAAGGTCAAGGTCAAAGAAAATTTTTTTGGAAATCTCGGAGGAATTATTAGCCAAGTGCCGGAGTTTTGTTAACTTGAAAAACTTAACTGGTGAATATCTAAAAACTAGTGATTTAGTTCGGCAAAGTTTACAAGCTTATCGGGAGGGAATGGTTTTAGATGGCGACAGACCTAAGCCACCGCGGAGAATGAATAGTTTTCTTTTCAGTGCCGAGTTGTATGGTTTTTACCAAACTTTACCAAATCGTCACCGTTGTGAAATATTAGAAAAGTCTTTATTTACTTATCTCAATCAATTAATAGCAGCACAGCAAAATCAACCGTTAACATTCAAAAGTCCGGTCCGAAGTTCATGTTAAAAATAGTAATTACTAATGAAAAAGGTGGCACTGGCAAAAGCACCATTGCCGCTTTATTAACCGAATATCTAAATTATAAAGGCTATCGGGTTCAGTTAATTGATACTGACCCGTTACAAACCAGTCAAGCTTGGGTTAATAACTGTCAACAAGAAGGGCGACTGGTTTCTCAAACCCAAGCACCGGAATATCAAATAATTGATACGGCTGGTTGTAGTGGTCCGGCTTATGGTTGAATTCGCCAAGCTGATTTAGTGGTCGTCCCTTTACAAATGCATTATGCTGATTTAAAGGTTACGGTCGACTGATTTCAAAACCAACGGGATGAAATCCAACACAAAACCATTTTTATCCCTAACCGCTGACAAAACACTCTCGAGCAACGGGAAGGTGCCAAACAATTACAGCAACTGATAAAAGTTTATCACAAAGGACAAATCCTTCAACCATTATCTAACCGGGTCGCTGTTTATGGTCTAGTGCTTAACGGCAACGCAACGAATTTTTTCCAGCAAAAAGACCGGACTAAAATTGGTGAAAGCCAATTAGTCATTAATCAAATACTAACAGTTCTAAAAAAGCGGCAACCTAAATAAGGATATCGGCGGTGGTAAATTCACCTATCATACTTATTATTGCTTATTTTCTCAACAATAATGCTCTTTACTGATAATTTACCTATCAGGGACATTTTCGCTCGTAAAAAACACGGTCAAGGTTAAAGGACATCAGTAATATATTCACTAAAGGAATATAAATATTTCGGAACGGAGGTTCCGTGGAATATTTTACTTAGTAGAAAATATAATAAATATGGGGTTAACCATTATATATGGTTAGTCTAATAAATTTACTATTTTAGTAAAATACTTTACTATTAGTAAAGGTAATAAATATGCTATTCCTTTAACAATAGTCCACTATTTTATTCACTTATTAGGGTTAGGTATATTTTTATACTAATAGTAAAAAGTGAAGCAAAAGTAAAGGAGTTGGTAAAGGTAAGTGTTATTAGTTAAAAGTAATATCTAAGATATTAAATAGGAAAGGAATGGTTAAGGTTAAATTTTTACAGATAGAACTTTAGAATGGGGTTTCAACTGCTGGGTTTATACGGAGGTTAGAAAGAAACTATTTTTGGCAAGGTTCAGTAAAACACGGAGGTTAGAAGTGAAAAAAAAAAAAAAAAGCTAGGAACAGGATTTTCCCTATACTTACACAAACTATTCAGCATATCTAGGAAAATATCTCACCTACCCCATCCATCCTTTTTTTTTTTTTTTTTTCACCCTCTATGTTTTTCCCTTTCTTAACCTCTCATTTTCATATCATACATCCCACATTTACACCATCCTCCACATCTCATTCACTCATTCCTCTCTCTCTCTCTCTATCATATTTACACCATTATCTTCCTTTTTATCTAATTTTCTTAAATCTCTAATTCCATTTTCAACCGGACAAGAAAAATAACACTCTTGACAAATCGGTCCATCCAGTTTTTGGTTTGGTTTAATATCAGGTAATTCTTTAAATAAATTCGCACTGTTTGGGCAATAGGTACAAATAAGAATTTGAATTGGCGATATCTCACAATCATCGTGATCAAAAAAATCACTTTCAGATTTTGCAATCATAAGCAATTTATCTTCAATTTCTTTTAATTTTTCATTAATTTCATTCTTTCTACTTTGACATCTAATTACTACATCGCAATTTTCTAATTCCCTTCTTAAATAGCTTTCTTCGGCTATGAGACCGTTTTTCATATTTGTTAAATACTTTTTGTTGATATTCATATTACTATTTTTTATTTTATACTTTATATTTCCATTTATTTACTTGTAAAATAGGCAAAAATTACTGTTTTTTTTTTTTTTTTGCTTATAAGTTTATTTTATACAAACTCTCCGGAAGATAAAACAAATTTTCTTTTACGGAACTATGTCTGTATAATATTTTTTATATATGTGTGATAATGTTAGAGGACATGTCAGTGTCATGAACCGACTGTATAAAATAAACTTATACTTAAAAAATTAAGTGTATAAAAATCTTCACTATGCCAGTTCGCGGATGGACTGGCTAAGATGAAGAGGAATAAAGCATAATTTTAGTAATATATTTACTTAGATAAATTATTAGTAAAAGTATAGAGACATACGGAAAAAATAAAGAAAATAAATATTAAAAAAATATGCCAAGAATAAATATAACATGCGACCAATGCAAAAAATACGTAGGAGATGAGCAATTAGCCCGACTCAGCGATGCTGAAAAAGATTTAGATTTTTGTTCTAAAAATTGTTTTCTTACATGAGTAGAACAAACCGAAGTCAACTTAGGATTTGTTAATTACCTAAAAAATCAGAATCTTAATTTGCAAGAAATAAAAGACAAATTAGATGAATTAAAAAAAGAATATCATCAAGCCCAAAATTGACTAGATTTTAATTATCCTAAAGAAGAAAGAGAGCAAATAACTAATTTAAACATTAAAGAGAAAAACTTAGAAAGTCATTTAGATTTAAAAGATTTCACTAATTTGAAAGTGTTAAATTGTTCTTATAATAAACTAACCAGCATAGACTTAACAGGATTAAATCAATTAGAAAAAGTAGAATGCCCCGACAACTATTTAACTAACTTTGATTATTCAGTTTTAAATCCTGACAAATTAATTCACTTAAATATTAGCGATAATAATTTATCTGAACAAGACTTGTCGGTTTTTAGTAAGTTTGTTAATTTAGAACTTTTATGAATTGGCGGTAACAAATTTTCTGGTTCCTTAGAACCTTTGCAAGGCTTGACTAAATTAAAAAGATTGCATATCAGTAATACCGATATCAATAGTGGTTGAGAGTATTTGCCAAATAGTATTGAAAAAATTTATTTTTCTAATGAAGAAAGACCTGACAGTAAAGTTAAAGAAATAAGTGAACAACTAAATTGCTTTCCTAAGTGAGCAACATTAAAAGAATGGATTGCTAATGATTATTATTTTGCCAACTACTTAGAAAGGAAAGGTTATAAATCTGAATCTTGAAAGTCTCTCGGAGAGGACAAAAAGAAAGAAATAAAAGACAGATATAATCGCGAGCAATGAAAGGATAAGAATGCTCAAGAATGGCTAGATAAAAACTATCCAAAAGATGAAAAAAGCAAAAGTTTAAAGAGATCAGGAATTGAAGAGTTAGATATTAGTGGACAGGAACTTGAGGGAAAACTTGAATTAGAGGGGTTTAGTAAACTAAAATATTTGAATTGTAGTGATAATAAATTAACCGAAATTGATTTAACGCACTGTCCATGTTTAATAGGTATTGATTGTGCAAAAAATGAGTTAGAAATTTTTAGATTTGGAGATAATTATTCCGAATCAAAATTACAAAACTTAAAAGAGTTTCGGGGTTCTAACAATAAGTTTTCTAAAATTAAGGACATAATTAATAATGTAAATAAAGAAAAGTTAACTTATTTTGATATCAGTAATAATAAACCTTCTACTGACCTTAATGCAGAAGTTGACCTTAATGCAGAACTTTTTGATGGTTTTACTGAACTACAAAGCCTTTATATTAATAGCAATAATTTTAAAGGTTCTTTAGATTTCTTAAAAAATTTAAAGAAAATAATTGATGTAGATATTCGTGGAACTTCAATTAAGATTAGTAAAGATGATTTAAGAAATAATTTACCGGAATGGCTGGAAGAAATTTATTGTGATTGTAATCAGTTAACAGAATTTGAAGATGAGCAAAAAAAATATTACAAGGAAGGGGATGGTTTTTATGATTTAAAGGCATTTCGTGAAGGGAAACAAAAAAAGGACAAGATAAATAAAATATTAAAGATCCCCGCTCTAACTGCTAATAGAAGAGAGAAATATAATCTAAAAAGAATTAGAGAGGATTACGATGATGTTGAAAACTATTATAAAGACAGACTAGTGGTGTATCCATCTAGAGAAGAGACAAAGTTTGACTGGAAGATTAATGAAACATTGGCACTAAGTAAATTGCCGCTTAGGCTTTATTGTATTGAAAGCGGGGAAGAAAATAAAGTAAAAAAAAGAATTGAATGTGTTGATCAGGCCGAAAAATATGCCATTTTATCTTATTCCTGAGGTGGTGAACCTAGGAAAGATGTTGAATGAAGTTACGAAAGTGCCGAGAAAAGGTTAAGTCCAGGCGGAAAAAAGGTTCTAAAAAAAGCTATTAAAACTCTCGAGATTCTTAATAAATTTCATTTGTTCGAAGAAAAAGACAAAATTAAATATTTATGAATGGATCAATTATGTATTAATCAAAATGATTTAAAGGAAAAGGGACACGAAATTCCAAAAATGAGGGAATATTATGGTAATGCTACTATTACTTTGATACCAATAAATGCGAAAGTTGGTGAGGAAAATATTGTAAAATTAATAAATTCTTTTAAAAAAAAAAACGAAACTGAGTTTCTTTATCCAAGCAAAATAATTGAAAACTCGTTACCAATACTAGAAAAAATAATCAGTTCCGAATGATTCTCCCGTTCTTGAACTTTTCAAGAAGGATTTTTGTCTAAGAGAACGATATTTATGTTTGATGATTTTTTAGTTGATGGTCGATTTATGGCTTTAATTTGGAAACTTGCCCAAGTTTCAGAAGTTCGTTATGAAGAATGCAAAGATATAAAAGAATTGTGTAAAGAAAAAGCTGCTACTCCAGTCGGTTGAGTTTATTATGAGGAAGAAAATAATGAGAAAAAAGTTATTGGATATAGTGTCGGAGATAAGGTAGCTCTCAGATTAAATGAAGCACTGTGAGCAGTAAAAAGAAGAGAGAGAAGTCTTCCGCAAGATGGTATATATTCAATAATAGGGTTGCTATACTATGGACGAAAAATAGAAGTTGACTATCGTAAGGATCCTGAATCAGTGTTACGGGAAGCTATGTTTGTTGCTACTAAATACGGCGATGGCGATCCTTTGTGTTGGTATGGAATAGGAAGCAGAACTCTGGGATTGTGTTGATTGCCAGAAATAGATGAAATTAGTGGTTCGAGTAGTATAGTTGGTGTCATACACATAGATTTTTATCGTGATAAACTTTCCGAGGATCGCTGTCTTGAATTTGTGCAAGACAAAGGAATTAAATTAAAGGCTTCTGAATATGAAATATTTGATACTGAAAAAAGTAGGGGGGTATATAGTTTAGACCGAGAAGAAATAGTAGATGGTGGACTCTGAATGAGAAATGTATGAGTAAAAATAAAAGAAAAGGAAGTAGGGGCATTAACGTTGTCTGGAACCAAAGCAGGTATGAAAGCAGCGAATAAGGGGAGGATTTTGTTGATTCCTAATAAAGAAATATGAAAAAGTGATGGTAAACAGTTTGCTTTATTAGTCATAAAAGTTAAAGAAATAGGGAATGATCTTTGTCATCGTCTAGATCTAGTCAGAATAGAAGAAGGATACGAAAACTTAGAAAAACCAAAATCTGAAGAAAAAACTTTCATAATCGGTCTAGATAATCAATATCAAGCCCAAGTCCAAATTCCACCTAAAAAATAATATCATGGTAATCGCCCAACAATACATAAATAAAAACTTCCCATCAGAAGCAAGAAAAAACCTCAAAACATTAGAAATTTCTGGTAAAGACTTAGAAGGTCATTTAAACCTAAAAGATTTTACTAATCTAGAAAAATTAGACTGCTACGAAAACCGAATCACTAGTTTAGATTTAACCAACAATAAAAATCTCACTTACCTAAACCCTTCTTCTAATCCAATTTCTGAATTAGACTTAAGTCAAAATGAAAAACTCACTGAAATACATTTTTCTTATGGACAAATCAGTAGTATAGACCTTAGCAAAAATAAGAATCTTAGTTTCATAAATTTTAACAACAACTTATTAAAAGACTTGGATTTAACAAACAATCCTAATATTGCCACTATTCATGTTTACAATAACAAGTTAACTTTTTTAAAAATAGCAAATTTAAGTAAACTAAGGGTGGTTGCTTGTCATATGAATCCAAAACTAATGGGTTATTTAGACTTAAGCAACTGTCCTGACTTAATAAATTTAAATTGTGCTTTTACTGGCTTAGAAAAATTAGAGTTAAATAACCCAAAACTATATCTTTTATATTGCCAAGGAAGTAAAATTAACAAATTAGACTTATCCAAAACAGCAATAAAAGAAACAGATTATGATAAGAATCTTCGCACTGATTTACCTAAAAAAAGAGTAATTTTCCAAGATTCTCAACAAAGAGTTAGTCAGAGTGCTGAACTATCAAAAAAGAAAAAAGTTTTCTTGGGCGGAACTTGAAACAAGTCAAATGACTGACGCAAAGAAAGATTAATCCCTCAGTTAGAGGAAGTTGGTATCGACTACTTTAACCCCATTGTCGACGACTGAACTCCTGCATGACAAGATGAAGAAATGCGACAAAAAGAAATCTGTGATTTTCTCCTTTACGTTATCACCAAAGAAATGAGCGGAGTTTATTCCATTGCTGAGGTAGTGGATGATAGCCATAAAAGACCAGAAAAAACTATTTTTTGCTATTTGGAAGAAGGATTTGCAGAAAGTCAAATCAAATCTTTGAAGGCAGTGGCTAATTTGGTGGAGAAAAATGGGACAAAAGTTTGCACTTCTTTGGAAGATGTGGTTGAATATTTAAATAATCAGCAATTAGGAATGGAAGAAATAACTTCTACTAATTCAACTAGCCAAAGAACAAGAGAACAATTGATAATTCAGGAAGA